AGCAGGAGCCGAAGATATTCCATCCAATCACCTTTCGGAAGAATGTTCTAGAATTCCTACGTGTAGCTTCCCGATTGGACAAAGCTAATAACTCCCTGTATGCAGATTGGAGGACTGTAATGATGATTTCGTTCTTGCTAAAAAACTATAAATACCTGACAGTTTTGTACCATAATTGACACTGTTTGAAATAATATTCCTTTCATTAGTCTTCTGTCTTCTCCTTGCGACTTGGAAGGGTTTTGGCGTTCTAGTGCTCAGTTATACGCGGTATATCAAGTAAACAACCTTCTAAATATAAGACAAAGACAACGTAATTTTTTTAAATAACGGGTTGATTGAATATGACTGGGTTATTATAGCTGATTTCAAGAATAACTATTTACGTCAATGTTACATTCATCAAGATGATAAATTTTACTGAGAATTTATGTCAAGTGTTAAAATATTAACAAATAAGGTGTAATATTAATTCATTTGTGTAAATTTTAATTACAAGTAATCAAAATACACTTCTCAATTTTATTTTCGTATTTGTTTTCACTAATAAGAAAGTTGAGTCTACAATATTCCCAGAAGTAATACGTCCCATAAACATTAAATGAAAGTAGCTCACTGATATGCTATTCCAGACATTTGAGACTGATGAAGCCTCACTCGGTAAAGCCCATAGGTTTATCTAGGTAAGAATCCGCTTTTCGAGGCTCAAGAACATACCGTGTGGACATGATTTCATCAGAAAACCGTCAAAAATCCCGGTCTTAGAGCGCGGGCGTCTTTCCGGTGGCAAGTGTAGACTACATGCACACAGTGACACACAAGTTTTCACTTATGCATCCTACAACATACATACAGGTATATTCACCCACCTAAGAGGATAGATAGTCACCGCTTTCTTTGAATATATTTGCTGCAACTCACTGTCTCTTACTTATTACTTGCATACCACTGATACAAAGACTTTCATCCATGTACTTCATGAAATGACGTAAGCATAAGCACGGTCCCAGAGGGGAGGTTGATGGTCATCTCTCCCTAGTACTTGCAGTCATATCATTTTATTATGTCTTCGACCCGATGGTTTAGGTCGCCGATCTTAGACGGCATAAGGCGGGCATTTTTTCAGTTTATGTTCCTTTTGTGAGCCCAACACGTATCCTTTGCATATTCTACATACACAATTACATAGGCCGAGACTTGTTCTATTCAAATACATAAGGATACACAAAGGGCACCCCGTTACGATTTTTGAAGCCTCGAAGAGTGAACTTCAAGCAATCCAAGTTCAGGATAGGAGTGATGGATTAGTCCAATCTCCACCACTCCCCCAAGTTAGCTAGTAAGGCTGTCCCTACTACCCAGCAGAGCTACGAGGACGCCTTAGGTCAGATTTTATTACTAGCTCACTAATGACATTTTTGATTGTGGAAAACTGATCGATTCAAGTTCGAACTCTACAGACAACATTAATTTCCTTAAATATGTAAATACACCTTGCTAGTGAGTACCATCCAAGTTCTGGAATATTTTTAAATCAATTTTATTTGTTATCAAATAAATTACACTATAATACGGGTCTTTAAGGTCTGATGACCGCATTTCTATTTGACTTGAAAATTTGCAACTTACATGAAGTGGTTTAAGTTCTGAACACAGTAATTGACTTATGAAACATGAATGTAGTATAAATGCTTGTATATACAGTGTTTTGAAATATACACAAAGAGATATAGGTTATGAATAGTTGGTATTGAGAAGCAAATATAACTAATCCCCTTTTGAGGGTAAGAAGTGAAGTAAAACTGAGCAAAACTCAGAAATTCATTAATATTTAATTTAAAATTATTTATCTAATCATGCGTTAAACTAATCATTGCATACATAAATTCAAGGAAATGCGCAATTTCTATTCATATCACACGTGACCAAAAGTTTACATACATATAAAAACAGAGAAAGACAGAGAGCAACGGAATGAGTGATGATATGTGAAACGTTATCTGTAAGTTGCTTTTCTCATTTGTTCCTTTATTTATAACCTATAATTTTATAAGGTAATTATTTTGAATAAATGTTAAAAGTTGAATTTTTAAAATGAATGATTTGACGAAATTAAAATTTTCATCACACATACACATCTACTCACAAACATAAAGTGTTTATTATCTTTACTTTTTTGTATGTTAATAGAAAGAGAAATGAATAAAACACTAAATACATTGGTTAATCATTGAACACAACAGCGTCACTCCTTTTGAAACCCTTTTGGTAGGGTTAATACCGGTCCCGAGCCCAGGTAAAGAAGGAGGGTTGGACATGGGGTTAGCAACACCCATCCCGTAGTAAAGAAATAGTTTACAAAACACTCACCAGGAAAAAACCATTCAAACTATTTAAAATCTCCCCTGGGAATATAAAAAGCTTCGTTTAGAAGAATTTTGATATTTCATGATGAAAGCTGAAACTCTTCAGACATGGCGAGGCCTATATCTCCTCCATCAATTAGGAGAAAAGTGAACATAGAAACACGGAATGTCCGGACAATGTGGAGAACCGGAACTCACTTACTCACTTACATACGTACGTCTGTTAACCCTCATGGAGAAGCGTGAGCCTCCCACCAGAATTCTCCAACCAACTCTGTCTTGGACATTACTTTCAAGTCATCCTTAAATGTCATTCATTTATTTGATGTCCGATTATCGCCCCAATGTGTTTTTTGGCTTTCCTCGAGAACTACCACAATCATCATCAAAAAGGTACAAGTGTTTACAAACAATTGTTTGAGTAAGATATTGAATGTCCGCTGGCCGGATACCGTCAGCAACAGCCTACTATGGGGGAAAATAATCCAGCTTCCAGCTGAAGAGACGTTGGAAATGGACAGGACATACATTACGGAAATCATCAAACTGCATCACGAGGCAAGTGCTAACTTGGAATTCTGAAGGGGAAGGAAAAAGAGGAAAGCCAGAAAACACATTGGAGCGATAATTGGACATCAAATAAATGAATGATATTTAAGAATGACTTGGAAGTACTGTCCAAGACAGAGTTGGTTAGAGAATTCTGGTGGGAGGCCTACGCTTCTCCATGAGGGTTAACAGGTGTACGTAAGTAACTATGTAAGGTGTTCACGTAAGACGAGTACCAAGTACCACGAAACCCAGGTCCAGGGTTCCCTGTTGACTACCTCTAACCACCATCTAATCTCACATTTAAAAGTATTTAGTGCTAATTATCTTCATAACTATTTGGTTAACTTCAGATAATTTTTACTAGTGGCGAAAATTACAGTTAAGCATAATGAGATCTTCATGGGTGATTTGGTTAAGAAAACTTAACATCAGTTAGATTAATGGTAGTGATGGTCTATTGGATAAAACACTTGGTGTTTAAAGTTGGATTTTAACTACAGACATCAACACATTTTTGGTTTGAGCAGATGGGTAGCAACAAAGCAGTCTTTCATATAAAAAGTTCTGTTCAAACTGCATTAGGTAAGTTTATATTTGGTAATTGGATTTCCACTAAATTTATCCACGTGAGATGGTTTTTAAAATGGAAATAATCCACTATTTGACATTTTTTTATATGTAATATCATCAAATAATATTGATTTCTTTCATCATCATCACCATCACCATCATCAATACGAAACATAAAAATAATGAATGTTTTATATGGGTTCGTAGTTTTCTGTTGTTAGGATCCTCATAGCTTATTATCAGTAATTTATTGTATCACCTTTGACTTCGTCTGTTTCACAAGTCAAAGTTCTGTAACACCTTATAACTAAACTGAAAGTGAAAATACAATTTATTCCATTTTTATTCATAAGTTATTAGGTTTGTTACATTATTTTACGACTCTATTCGAATTGAAGGATACGTACGCTAGATGTTGGTTAAAGTGGATTATAGGAGAGGTAACAGCAAATAAACCAAGAAGCGTCATCATTTCATGAAGTCAATAAATGTTGATCTGGGTCATCTTGATAGGTACAGACTATCAAGTTAAAGTTCTCACAATTATTTTGGTTAGTATTTTGAGACATTTGATGCATGATTCAAAACTGGTCACAATAACAGAGATGTAATCACTCATCGCCTTCCACTAGATATTGGATTTTGAAATCATCCTGTACTTTTTAATTTTACGAATCATATTTTCGATACCTTGTGTTTCGTACTAATTTCGATACTGTTACTATTTCTTCTAATCTGGTATTTGTCTTAATAAATTAATCTCACTGTTTAATATGGTGTGATAACTTGGAATAATAACGGTTAAAAAGTTTCAAATTACCATAAAATAGCTTACAAAAGCTCAGATGACTTTCGATAATTATCTAATTAAAATCAACTGATCATATAAAAGATATTCGAAAAAATTGAATAATCTTTACAAATATCCTAATCTTGATTTGATTAAATTAGAATATTCTAAATTCATTCTGCTCATGATTATATAAAGAAATCAATTGAACTATCCTCGCCTCATTTCTATGAGGAAGAAGTTACCTTTTTGGTTATTAAAAACGTATTCAAAACGTGTTTATTTGTAAACCACAAGACAAAACAAAAACTTGATTCACTCATGTCTATACATAAATAAACAATAGAGAAACAATAAAAGTATTTAAAAGAAAGAAAGAAAGAAAAATTAATCATTTTTATTAATTCAAACAATAATAGATTCCAATTTTTCTTAAAACACACGGAAGTTATATGAAAAGTAAAAATAGATTTCTTTCTTTCTTCTTTATTAAATCGAAGAAAAAGTTAAAAATGCAATTGATTATTTAAGATTGGAATGGGATGAGGGACCAATTAAATGACATTACTAGATGTATTCAGTTTGGTGCATAGTGTTTTCTATACATTTACTTCCATATGCCATCTTCTGTATATTTTAAGGAAGTAATAAAAGTATGTAACAAAAATGAGCATGATCAGAGATGGTAAAAACCACTGATTTCACCATCAACAATGTTGTCATCACATAGTATATTCATTAAAATTTTCTTCAATATTGTGATTAGATGAAGTGCTTAAAGGTGTACGACTATCAGTATTAATATTATTATCACTGATATTACTACTGATAAAAGTGTTAGTAGTATTAGTAGTACTAGTAGTTGTGGAGGTAGTATTTGTTGTATTAATAGTTAAATACTGTTTATCAATTGATTTAATTAAATTATGTTCATTATTTTCGTTTACGGTTGTTGTTGTTGTAGAATCAGAATGTGTGCGTATATGTTTATTTAAATGATCACTTCGAAGAAAACGTTTATGACAAATAGGACAAAGAAAACGTTTTTCACCAGTATGTGTACGTAAATGACGTTGCAGTTCATCAGAACGTGTAAATCGTTTGCCACATAATAACCAATTACACACAAATGGACGTTCACCTGTGTGCCATCTTAAATGTGCTTTTAAATGACTTGTTTTATTGTAGACTTTACCACAACCAGGTACATGACAATTATGTAAATTTTTTCGCCTTAATTCACTTGCTATATTTGGATTTGTTAAATTTAAATTATCTAATTCTTGACAGTTAGGACAATCACATGTTGGTCGACCAATATATCGTTTAATTGTATTGGAATTATTATTATTGTTATTATTATTATTATTATTATTATTATTATTTAACGTTAATAATGCTGAAGACCTTGGAGGAATGAGTGGATGTTCAACATTCAATGATACTTTTGTTTCACCAGATAACGTTGATGATGGGGATGGTGATTGAGAAAATAAATTTTTAGGTATATTTGTCGATGCATTTACTCTACTTTCATTATCTATTTGATTATTAGTGAACACTGAACATTTCGGTTCGATATTCATATCTATGGAGCCATTAGGATTATTGTTAGCAGAAAGGAATGTTTCATAGAGTGTTGCATATTCAGATTGTCCTGATGAGTTATTATTATTATTATCGTTAAGATGATGATTATATGTTGGATATTGCACACTAGCAGCGGCCATTAAGATTGATTTATAGCGATCAGTTGTGTTTAATAAATTACACATATTATTTGACCAAAAATTCGAATTATTTCCACTAAAATTTAAACACCTCTCTCCGATAGGTAGTGGTGAATGAAATGTTCGTCTACAATCTGTTTCAAGATTTGAATATAAATATGATTCAATTGAGTTTTGATTGATATTTTTATCTTCAGCTCTTGTAATAAAACAATATGGATCGTTCATTTGAATATTTAATGATTGGTTTTGACTACTCACGTTATTATTATTATTGCTGTCAGTATCAAATACAGATTGATCGACTGAACAAGGATGATTTTGAAGTGAACTGAATGTGGAATTAATTGTAGGCGGAATTTTATCATTATTGATAATTGTTGGCATTAATGCATCATTAACATTATCATGTGAAAATCTATTATTTACCCAAGTGTGTATATCATTCAACCAATTGGATTGTTGATTCTGATATTGTTTTACAAGGAAATTCTGTTCATTTTTCAATGAATCAGTTTCTGTTATGTAATCACTACTTTTATGATCATTATTCAAATAATCAATGTTATAGTCACTATTGTTACAATATTCTGTCCAAGGTAAATAATTCTCATGCATTCCTGGATTATAATGCTTGTTTAAATTTCCAGGAAAATTCGTATCATCAGGGTTAACATAATGATGACGATGATGATGTTGCAAGTTTGTAGGATTGCTATTAAATTCATAATTTTCATGAATTGACTGATTATGATTCGATGAACTTATACTACTTGTATTGAAATTAGTAGCATGTATATTGGTGACATTAGTAACAGAAGTAGAAGCGGTTGTTGTTGTAATGGTATTAGTACTAGTAAAAGGATTATTGATATTACTTGTAGAAACTAAATTTTCTGAATTTTGTAAACGATGAACATAGGATGACATAATCAATGAGTTACGATAGTTTTCATCCATTAAATTAGTAACTTCATCAGTTACATTTCTGTTGTAATGCTTTAATAAAAATTGTTGATAATAGGTACTTGATAGTAAATTATAATTCTCTGGAAAGTTTTTTTTATTCTCTTCTTGTTCATTTAAAGATGTGGCTATTGTTGAATATGGTGTTGATACAGACCTAGAAGGTATTAATGATTGAAAATGTTCATCATTTGAAGATAACTCTTTAAATTCTTTAGATGTATGTATTTGTAATTCATCCGAGTGATAAATTGGATTGAAATCGTTGTGTACAGGTAAATTAGGTTGATGAATACTATCAGATCTTGGTATGAAGTGTGAATTTGTCATATCTGTGATAGCAGTCATATTATCTATATGACTTGAAGAGTATTCTGTGAGAGAAGATTGGGTAACTGGTAAATGCTCATGAGTTTTCCATAATATGTTCGCGGGTAACTTCACATCGAATAAGTTATTATCTTTATTTTCATTTTCAGAAGAAATCATTTTTTCACCCTTAGAAATAAATACAGATAAAATGGGATTTTCGTTTATATAAGCTGACATAGTTCGATTTTGAAGATTCCTGTAAATATAAAAGAAAGATCATAAATGTAAGTTAGTAGATGCTAACTTAATGATTTGAAGATAATGAACTTTATGTGAAGCCTGAAGGTTCTGGATTATATTCCTTGTGGGGTAATAAATGTAAAACCACCGGAATCCCATATTCCAATGAAACATCTATCTAATGTTGCTTAGTTTTCAGTGATATACCAACTGAAATCAGTACATAATGAATACAACTTAAAAATTAGACTGATCTTTGTCACGCTTTTTCAATAACACAATAAAACATTTCAAGCAGAGATGGATGATAGCTAGTTATGGGATCCACGATGCTCGTTTCGTTCTATCTTTGACTTGTCAGTCGGATGTACCCTCATCCATCTCTGGTTTTAATGCTTGTAAATTCAAGTCATACCGAGGTAATTCGTACAGGATGTAAATATACCAATAAGAGACAGATCAATTGAAGTATTAAACATCAATGGAAAGATTCAAACAACCAATACAAAAGTGAATAAAACTCATAATAAAATCAATACTAATCAGTTAGTGATTAACTAATCATCAGAAAAAAATTTTTTTTGTTTGAATAAAAATCAATACAACCCATGAAAATGAAGAATAAGAACTTCCTAAGGAAATTTTACATTAAATTGGTTTAATTAGAGTAACACTAAGATTTCATGTCATTATATCATTTCATGTAAATTAAAATTCCTTTTCTGGAATAAAAACGAGACAAAAATTCTCTTTAAAAAAACCAGGTTCCCTTGTTTAAAACAAACTGAATACCAATGATTTTTTATTCTTTCATTATAAAATAAATGATCAAGCTTGTAAATCATTTTTACTTGACAAAAAATTTCTCTTTGCTTTTTTTAATTAAAAAAAAAAATTTTTTTACTCGAAATAAATTTCGTGATTGAATAATATTTTTTCAACAGATGTCAAATATCCAAACAAACAAAAAAATTTGCTTAGCACCCACCACCCTTCAAAAATTGTTTCCTTTTAAAATATTAATAGTTGATTAATGATTAAATCATCATTGAAATTAGTTAAGTTTAAAGTATCATGTTGACATTATTTTCTATTGATGGGTGCATGCAACAGTCAATAATTAGTCAAGCATAAATCTACTAAGACATATCAAATATGTCTAATGTAATTAGTACTGATTGGGGGGATAGATGTAAGCATATATATATATATATATATATATATATATGCCCACTTGGATGTTAGTGTAGATGTTTATCTATTTGTATATACGCTTCTGTTCGTATGTATTTACTGAGATATTTGTATATAGATGTGTGATCCTGTTTGAATAGAACCTATTTATCAATATTTCCAGTGCTTCTAGGTTTTCCATAGTAGTCTAGTTTCAATCGACTCATAAATCCAACTATTTTAATTACTATAATATCCACAACACTCCTTCTGATTATCAATATTTATTTGGATACACTAAAAAAATTTCAGGTATTTCATGTGATTTACCAATGTAAAACATACATTAAATTTTCAATGAACATATTTTCCCTTTGTATTTAAAAGCATAATCATGTAAATTTAAAAGTGGGGAATTTTTTATTTCTCTTAGTAGATTATAAAGAATATTTCCCATAAATGACAAATGAATTGAAATTCAAATATATTTCTATTTTACAGAAAAGAATGGATTGCATAACAATAATTCATTTTTTACATTGAAATTGAACACAATATAATTGTCACATTGAACAAATCAAGTCTTGAACCATTGAGTCTCATCTACTAAATGGAATTATTTTTTTTTTAAATGGGAACCATTTTGTTTTCGAATGATTAAAATGTACAATTGAAATAAATATTTTTTAATTCCAAGAATAGTAACAATTGTATTTTTATTTTGGAAGAAACTACATATAAAACGGGGAATGATGAAGTGTAAATCAAGGTATTTATAATAAGTTTATAATCATTTTGAAGTGATCAAGATAAAGATTAATGAAAATATTTACAAATCAACTGGGTTTGAATCTCGCGAGGCGAGGTCATTGAATGAGCACAATAGGACGAAACGGCTGTCCAGTGCTTCCAGGTTTTCCATGGTGGTCTAGTTTCAATCGACTCATGGTTTCAACTATTGAAAAAGTAATTTGTTAGTAGATTTTTAACATAACATACAAATCAACCATCTTTTTTTTATCACTTAACAGCTATAGGTATTAGCTAGATTATTTTTTAAATGTTAAACAATGAATATTATTCATCTAAGAAATGAGACAAACATCGCCTATGCTAGTGAATCATCATAGTATGGAATAATTGATTCTACTATAGAAGTATAAAGAGTTCACTATTGTTAAGAGACTGTTATATTTTTTATTTGACAGTTGGTGGGGTCTTAGATGTATTCTACTAAGTAGTTCGATTCTAGGACGACACCATTATCCAGTGCTTATTGATTTTCAGTGATAAACCTAACTAATGTCAGTGCATTACAGAAATCACTTTAAAACTAGACTAACCTCCACAAAATTCATTAACAAAGGAAATAAATCATTTATCACATAAATTTAATCCCCCTAACTATTAGTGCATGTCAACAATACATTTTAATTTAAAAATAAAGCAGACATTCAAGTCGCTCTGATATTCAGTAGGTTTTAACTGACTTCAGTTCATGATGGCATTTACTGTAAATATAGTGAATATTAAATACTAACATTTTTTTCATGATTAACATATATACAACATGTAATTTATGGACAGTAAATTCATACACTTTGTTTTAATTTAAAAGTTTAATACACCTTATAAATATATTTATCATATTTTTTGTTTATTAAGAATAAGATTGCTGCTGATTTCAAATGAAAATAAAATGAGTTTCCTTCCAAAGAAAAAAATTTCTGTTTTGTCATGTTATTGGAAAACTTGTGAATAAAATCTAGAGCACATTAACGGGTACTCGGTCACCTGACCTGATCTCTTAGTGGTTGTACTACTGAACTTTCAAAATCATATTCTATTTATAGGCAGAGATGCATGGTGGTTAGTAGTGGAATCCAGGACGCGCGTTTCGTCCTATCTGGGACTTAAGGCAATATCGTGGCAATTCGCACAGGATGCACATATGTCAATAAGAGATTGTTCAATTGAAGTCCTAAACAACAATGGGAAGATTCAAACAAGCAATACAAAAATAAATTACATTCTATTTGTTTCAATTAATACATTAAAATAATATCGCTAGTATTCACAAGAATAATATGATCCGAAAACCGACTAAATAAATGAGTTGCATTTCATATATATATACCAAGTGAATTTAAACTTCACCCCATCGGACAAGCAATTGGCTATCAAGACTCAGTAACTAAGTAGATAACGCTATGGCGTTTGAAGCGAGTAGCATTTATTTCGAGTCCTGGAGTGAGCATCATATATATATATATATATATATATATATATATATATATATATATATATATATATATATTTAACGTATGTATTTAACCAAATTCATGAAATAGATACAATCACTATAAATCATTCTAATCTTTGTAAATAATGACTTAAGATGCAAAACAACCTTTTCAATTACACGCTCCCCTCTTTTTCTCACTAGAAAAGGTGAACAACGCAAACATGACTACTTGAAAATAAATACATAAAAATACTAATTAACCACTTAGTCAAGAAAAAAATCCTCCGCTCAGTCGATAATATAATTTCTGTCCTTTTTATCAACTACATCAAGTCTCCTCATTCACAAATTAAAAAAAACAACTTGATAAGTATGTAAAAAGTGTCGATTAAATATTTGTCAATACACTAATACTTAGTTGTTCAACTTGTAGTTAATTTTCAGATAAGTATGTGATAATTTTAAAATGTTTGTTTTTAAAAGAAAGAACAGGATGTTATAATTAATTATCTACATAAGTAGTTTGTAAGGAGTTAGACAGAAATAATTTACTATTGAGATCATGAATTGACTTAAAATAAAAACAAGGAAGCACAGGATAATTGTTACGTCCTACTACGAAGCTCCGCAGCAGTGCACATCTCATATTAGAATGAAGTGGATGTCCAGTGCTTCCCGTTTTTCAGTGGTTGTCTAACAAAAGTAGGTTCGTGATCTCATCATCATATAACAATCTCCATAAACTCTCAGACAAATTACTTACTATTCATATGGATGTTACCGTAAAGATAGATTTCCTACCGGTCCCTGAGAGTGACTGTGTAGTCTGTTGAATAAATCATGTCAGAAATAAGGCTATATCATAGATTGATTAAAATATAACACTTTCGATGTATTAACTATGAAAGCCGATACTTCGAACAAGAGAACACTGAGGTTCTCATAACACAGTAGAATGGAAAGATTATTGACAGAAGCAAATTTATTTCACTCATCAGAAACACGATAACCATTTTAATCAAAAAGTACTCATCTATTTATCGATTTTACTGACGTTCGATTATTAGGTTGAAAAATGTCAGATCGAACCAAAATAAGGGTAATAAAAAAAACTGTTTTACATAGAATTTATTCAAAATGCATGTTGTATGTTATTTAGGACGGAATGCACACTAAATGAATACAAAGAATACCATACTAACTAGAATACTAAATTGAGTTACGGTGTGGTCTTGTGTTTTTATCCTGTTCCAACCGTTGGATATTAGATTTTAACTAATTACCTGAATGATATTTTGCTTCCACATAAAACCTGGAAGTTGGTAATTTAAAAACCGACTAAAATTGCGAGTACACGCACTGACGAAAAGGTATGCATTAAAACATATTAACTGTTCAATATTACTTAATTCTCAAAATTATTCACTAGCTAACAACAAACAGTTCGTTAGTGAAATAGATACTGATGAATAATTATAGTCCAGATGGGCAATTTTAGTGGAGTCTCATTTTTTAAGCTGGACATTTTAATTGTTATTACATTCATTGTCTTCTTAGACAGCAACATTGGCAGCATATG